CTGGCAATGGCAGATTGACTAGAACGAGGAGTGGCTGCTGCAGGGGAAGCATTACAGATAAAAACAAAAACACAAATGAAATGAATCTGAAGGATTCTAGAACACTTTGCTGCTAGGAGAAGCTGAAGAGCAGAAAAAAATATTAAAACAAGACAAAACCATTAAAGTTGGTGACTGTGCGTGCAGGAGAAATGGTGGAAATGAGAACATGTGTGAGATCTGGAAACAAAGCAAAGAAGAAAATGAAGTCATATGTGAGATTTCCTCTGATCACTCAAAAGAAATGTAAGAAAATTCCTCTTCATATTCCCACCAAAACCTCCTGAAATTATTGTTCCAAATAACGCATTTCTAAAAAAGAAAGTGCATACATAGCTTTGGATCATGGACATATCTAATGTGCCAATGAGCCATTTACTTCAGCACTTCAGCAGACAATAACCACCACTAGAGACTTAAGACGTAGGATCTCACTAGAGGAGATGATACCTTTGCTATTTGGCCCAGGCAGAGGTTGTGCTTGGTTAGCAAAGGTGACGTGATGTGTCTGTCTGGGATCTTTATACTGGGTGTGCTTTTGTCACTGCTGTCCGCCCCAGCTCAGCAACACAGTACTCTGTGTGTACCTCAGTGCCTTCTCTGCCTTGTCTTTCTTCTCCTGCCGAATACTTTCAGTCAATCAGTTTAATACTCACGATAATTATTAAGGCTGGTTGTTACAACAGTAGGCTGGAAGCAGAACTTTTACTTCTACTCCCTAAAGGGAGTGAAGCAACATGACGACAGGAAAGAGGTCCATAGAAAATTCTTTAAATTCTGAACATTCTAACAAATATAGTTTTCCAGTATTTGGACTGTGGTGTCATTCTCTTAAGTTAAACTGAAAGGTTGTTGTTGTTGTGACTATCCAAAGACTGTTTTTCCATCTTACATTTTGTTCTATGCTTGTGCTGTTTTCCATTGCCATGCCAAAATTTCTCCTGTTTATTGTAATTGTTTTAGTGTGTCTGGCTCTCATTGGTTTATATGTTTAGTCTTGTCCTGATTTAATATGAATTAAAATGCCAATGCCACGACCAGTCTGTAAATATGAGTCAGAAGAGAAATTATTTAAATAATACTATGGATAGTACCCGTCTGGTTTGATATCTAGATCATATAGAATAATGCTGTTTTTGTTTTCTATTACCATTGCCTGCTATTGCCAATGAAGTGTTGATTGTGATTGTGACCACAAATATGTTTTGTTCCTGGTCCTACCAAGCCAAAAGAGTGTGGTTTACTGCATGTATGTACGTGAGGTTGTTTTGATCATATGAAGTTCACTTTAGAAAACCCACATTCTGCCACTGCAGCGCTACAGCACAATGAGAAAAGAATTTCCAATGAGAACAGTGTTTTAAAAGCAAACCATTGGGCCTCTTCCCTTTAGAAGAATTTTAAGACACACTACCCTTTCTTCTGAATTTGATTATTTCTCAAAATAATCAAATCTGAATACCTGTCTTTAACAGAAAGTCCCTGTCTTTTTCTGCCTCAGTCATTACATAAAATACAGCAAATTTCAAACTGTACGTTTCCATTTCACACAGAGGTTACGCTTCTTTAAATCATCAGTTTACTGTACTGAGTAAAAACATCATGCATTGATTTTTTTAGTGGTGAATCTGGCTACCATATGTCCAATGGTAGCTTGAAACTTTTCACTACCTTGTCTCTACAGACCTGGGAATGCTTAACATTTAAAGTCTGACACTACCATTTAAAGTCTGACACCCTGAGCTTCTAGCTGTCCAGACAGAAGGACAAGGTTGTATTTTAAAGGGCCAACATGGTATTTTACCAGTTTGAGTTACAACACAGTAACTCAGAGTTTGTGTAGCTCTTACAGAGTCTCAATCAATATCATTATCTTCTAAGAAGACAGGCTTTAGTGTTGAGCAGTGAATATGCCCATCAAACACAATGTATCCAAAAATGTGTCTGACCTCCTCTGCGTGACTCACAAATTCATTCGGGCTCCTCCAGATGAGTGATAGGCATTTAACATGATCACTGCTATCCAAGTCTCTTGCAAACTGAAACAACAGCATAAATGGCACAAAAACTCACAATCCCCACCCGAATGCTCTTTCATTCCAGCTGAAAAGAACCCTAGCTTTAAATCTAGAATATGCAGCCCCCTCTAAATCCCAGATACAAAGACATTCAAGAGTTATGCTCCTGGCACCAATCCTAATCCTAACCCGACAGTTTTTACCACATTTAATAAAACTTGTTTATAGTTTCCTGTTCCACCTAGGTGCAACGAAGCTTACTGCTTAGTCCTTTCCGGTAATTTTACACAGATTTTTGTAACTCAGGATACATTTAAACTATGCCTACACTGGTACTATATGGAGACTTTTTCCAGATTAAACTCTTGTCAGCTAAACTTAAACACACTCTTTTTCTTATTTTGTTAAGTGTTTGTAGTCCTGTGCTAGTAACAGAAAGAATGAAGCTGTCCCTTGCAAATTAGCTTAGCACACATAAAAAGCTCTCCACCGCTCCTTAAAGTAGAGGCTAATAATGGTGAGTCAGATACATGCTTGTGATAGCATTTGTACAATTGAAGAAATCCTCTCAACTGATTGAAAAATGAAATGGCTTTTCTTTGACCACTTAATCTCAGTGTAACAGCATCTATCACTACAGCCCACGCTGTAATCTCTGGTTACAGTGTGGCCAGCTAATATGGCTTCAAATGAATGGTGCATTCCTATCATATCAAATTTGCAGCCAAAAAAAACTAAAAAAGGGAGTTTTCTTGTTTGTTTGTTTGTTTAAGTGTCAAAAAAAGCCCAAAGCTGCAGCTGTCAGAACTTTTTGATTATTTTTTCCTCTACACTTTCAACAGACAGGAAAAGGAACGTCTTGAGGTTAGAGCACCACATTTTACATTTCAGTGCAACGTCACGAGCATCTGATAGCTCATTCACACATAACGTCAAGATCAGTTCCATAGTTCTTACTCTGACTTACAAGACAACTATTCCTCTTGGAAAGCTGCCATCGTGTTCTGCAGATTACATAAAGCATTAAATCTTTCTGACACAGGTTCTGTGATTATTTAAGGGATTTAATCATTTCTGCAACACAAGTCTATACCTAAATGGTACTTACTCCTCAGCATATTCTTCTAATCACATATTCTGCACTTTCTTGGCCTACAGGCTTTGGTATAATTGTCTGTGGATAGAGGATACTTTTTTACTGCAGAATTCCTAGCAGGACCAGCTGATGCAGTCCAGATACATAAACTTTTAAAGCCTATTTTAACCAAGTCTGCATATATAGTTTAGAAACAGATGTGTTT